GCCTAGGACTGCATATGGTAATTGCATATTTAGTTCTTTTAAGAAACTGGCAAATTGTTTTCTAGAGTGGTTATACCATTTTACATTCCTACCAGCATTATATGAGTGCTCCAGTTTCTCGGCATTTTTGCCAGCCTTTGGTGTGGGCCTTATTTTTTTATTTTAGCCAGCCTGATAGGTGTGTTGTGATATTTCACTGTGGTTTTAATTTGCATCTCCCTAGTCACTATGACATTGAATATTTTTTCATGTGATTATTTGCTATCTGTAGAGCCTACCTGTTGAAGTGCCTTTTTTTATTGTCAAAAGTTTTGGGAATTCTTTATATATTCTGGATACTAGTCTTTTTGTTGGATATGTAGTTTGTAAATGTTTTCTCCTTTCCTGTAAGTTTATCTTCTTATCCTCTTAACAGGGTATTTTGCAGAGTAAAAGTTTTTAATTTTGATCTAGTCCAATTTACCATTTTTTTAATGTATTGTGTTTTTGTTGTCAAATCTAAAAACTTTTTACCTGTAGTCCCAGATCTTGAAGATTTTATTTTATGTTGTTTTCTAAAAGTTTTACCATTTTATGTTTTTGACATTTAAGTCTGTGATCCTTTTATTTTTTATATAAGGTGTGACACTTAGGTTGAGGTTTATTTGATATTTGCTTATGAATGTCCAACTACCTCAGCACTATTTGTTGAGAAGTCTATCTTTCCTTCATTGAATTGTCAAAAATCAGTTGGACATATTTGTGTGGGTCTATTTCTGGACTTTCTAGTCTATTCTATTGATCTGTGCATCTATCTCTGTCAATACTACACAGTCTTGATTATAGTAAATATATCTTAAGTCTTGAAATTAAATAGACAAATTCTCTTACTTTATTCTTTTTCAAATTGTTTTAACAATTCTAATTCCTTTGCCTTCTACATAATTGTCATGCATATCTTGAACCTTTTCTATGTTCTTTTAATCACTTGCTCTTTGACATTTTAATTTCTCTAATGTTTGATCTTTTAGATATTTTTATATTTTCTTCACTTTCCCTTATTAAACTTTCATTTAAATATATTCTTTTCATGACTTATAATTTATTCTTCATTTGCTTCATTACTTTGAGTTCGGTCAGTTTTTGTTGCATTTTTTTCTTGTTTTTGGTTGTGTGTGTGTGTGTTTTTAATTTTTTTCGTCTACTTCATAGTTTTTAAATTTCTGATTCCTGATTTCAGGTGAGTGCACACATGTGTGTAAGTATGTATGTGTTTGTGTGTATATGTATCTTCAAATGCTTGTCCAGGGTACTTAATTCAGTTTAGAGTGTTATCTTGCAATTTTTATTTGTTTCGTAGTTAGTTATTTGATGTGAATTTTTGTGAGCTGAGATGTTTGTATTTCCATTTTCATGTTTTCTTCCTAGAGGAGTTTTATATGGAGTTTGATTTTTCCTAGTCCTTGGCATTTCATGGGTTGGGTTTACTATGTCAAGAGCACCTTGTGCTGTCAATTTGTGAAATACAATTTTTAGAATGGATGAAGGTGATGGTGGAGTGGGGAAAGTAGGATAGGATTACCCTGTCTTGTGCATATGTTATTTTTTTCCTCTGTATATTGGATCCTTAATATTTCCCTCTTCCTTCTTTTCTCTCATTGTGATATCTGTGAGGAACACATCCATTATCAATGTATATTTTTATTTTATGGAAATGACACTTTTTCCAACAGTGCCACTTTGGATTTTGCTCACTTTTTTTTTTTTTTTTTTTTAGGCTAGAGTGAGTGCCGTGGCGTCAGCCTAGCTCACAGCAACCTCAAACTCCTGGGCTCAAGCGATCCTCCTGCCTCAGCCTCCTGAGTAGCTGGGACTACAGGCACGAGCCACCATGCCCGGCTGATTTTATATTATATATATTAGTTGGCCAATTAATTTCTCTCTGTTTTTATGGTAGAGACGGGGTCTCGCTCAGGCTGGTTTTGAACTCCTGACCTTGAGCAATCCGCCCGCCTCGGCCTCCCAGAGTGCTAGGATTACAGGCGTGAGCCACCGCGCCCAGCCCGATTTTGCTCACTTTTGAGTCCCTTCCCTGTGGCCAGTGCTGTGTACCACCAAATACTGCCTTGTGCTCATATTTCAGCACTTAGTGTTGCACTTGATCTTTCTGGGGGTGATTTTGTGTGTACTCTGGTAGGTTAAACATCATCATGACCTTTTTGCTGTTGAGACAAAATTAATTAAATCACTTACCTAAGATCCTACATGTAGTGTCAAAAAGAAGATCAGAAAGAAGATCAGGAGGAAGATCAGAAGCCTTCTTATGCATCATTCATTCATTGTGCTGCATATATTGGCTGGCTGACTTCCTCTCTGTCTTCTCTAAAATATTTAATGAACATCTGAATTATTTTGGATTAAATGATGAGGTTGTAGAGTCCTCAACAGAGTTCACATCAAATGCAATTCATTTAATTTTATATTTTGCAATTCATTTTAAAGTGATGAGTGCGGCTCAGTTTTTTGATGGTGCACACCTGGGCAAGTTTACAGGTCTTTTTGAAAACAAAGATTTACTGGTAGGCTTTTCTCTGTATCTCCAGAGCAAGTGTTAGGTCTTGGACTAACTGAACCATCCAACTTCTGTCTGCTTGAATATCTCAGGACTGTGTACTTGCTGTTGTAGTTTCCTGGCTATTGACAAGAGGCTTATCCTTCAAATTTTTCTTTGGGTGTTCTTGAAATGTATACCTCCTGTATGCCATGGTTGTGTCATGTTGAATTTTCTTTGTGAGTGAAGGGCAAAATGTTCTTCTCTGCTTTGCCAATAGCATTTTCCCATGTACACTCAGGGAAAGTTCTTCCGCCTCTCAACTGGGCTCAAAAGTCTTAACTGGAGCACTTCAGAAATAGGCCTGGCTTATACTTTTATAAAAACAAGCAGAGCCTGGGCAACTCATAGCTTGGAATAGCACTGATGTTCTGAGTTTCTCTGAGGCAAGCATGTGGATGGTGCTACCAAAGGTCACATGCATAGCACTTGGATTCCCACTTGGTAAGGCAAGGGAGTGCCACTCCTTGCTTTGGTGAAAGCGAAGGGGGTGTCTTGTGAAAAGAGAGGCTGGTGTTCACTGGCAGAAAAGGCTGATGGCATGTGGAAGGTGTGATGTAGGAAACTGGACCTCAGGATGCCTCGATGTCATCCATTTTATAATCCTGCAGGGAGAAAAGTTGGACTTTCTAATTTTTTCTTGATGAAATATGCTGTTATGTACATATGGAAAATAATAAAAGTAATAATTATAAATGATAACAGAAAAATATTGAACCTAGAATTTGTGTGGAACTCTGTCCTGAATATGATATATTTGCATACTTTGGAATTTCCTAGAGGAACCTCCATACCTCATCTCTCTGTCCCCAAGCACTCTAGGCTGAGTTGCTTATCTGTACTGAGATGGGAAGAGTCAGGATCCTTTCTCTGGTCAGGGGGTCCTAGTGGGAAGGGGAGAGTTGGCCTTGTCCTGTGAAGGTCTCATCAGGAGTGAAACTTACCTGACTAGAATGTGACATGGATCTGAAGAGCAGTGTAGCCTAGGACTTTTTCCTCTTCCTGCCGTAACACCACACATACCCACCCTTCTTTCTTCTGGGGTAAGAAAAAAACATGTAAAATGGACTTATATTTGGCTTCTGGGACTGTAAAGCAGTTCTTGCCTTTCCTCCATAAATTTCCCTAACACTGGATCTTTTTTCTCTCCTCTCTTCCCTGTGTTTTACCTAAAGTATAATCACAGTTTGCAGTGCAAGCTTTGAGACCAGATGGACAGTGAGGTGACTGTGGCATCTTATTAAAACTCTTAGTAATGTAGTTTCATATCTATTAAATAGAGCTATATTACTGTCCAGGTGATTATGAAGATTAAATGATATAATGTATATGGAATGATTAGCATATTGCCAGGCATATAGTAAGCTCTCAGTAAATGGCATTTATTGTTATCATAGCAGGTAATCTCTATATAGTGCCTAGAATTGTGTTTGGCATTAAGCAGCCAAGAACTGGTAAAAATTATCATATTGCTAATTTTAGTGGCTTGTGAGGACCTTCAAACTCGAACTGACATACTTCCTAGGGAGATCTGCCAAGCATTTTACATTTTCTTTCAATATCTGACCAAATAGTCTAGGAGTAATTGCGTGGTGTAATTCCAACAAGACACAACATTGCTCGTGGCTTTTTGTTTTCTGATGGTCCTATGAATAACTGAAATTTTACTTTAGAAAATAAGAAGCACATCCTAGTAAATCGGCCCAGTTCTTATATGGGGCAAGACTTTTTAACAGTTATGTTGCAACTGAATTAGATACCCACTTATTAACTATCCTACCATCTATCCAGCAAGGCCTTCAGAGAGCTACCAGTCTAGTATGAACATTAAGGCTCAGCACATGGGTGCCTTAAACCTTAGTTTTTGTTTTGTTTTTCTAATTAAGAAGAAATATAGAAAGCAAATAGAAATACAATGTGAAGCTTTCTTGGAATCCTTGGGCAATACCATTAGGATTTCTTCATTAGTAATGAAGAACTCGGCTTTGAATCTTGGTTCAGTCACCTGCTAACACTGTGGCCTTGGGCAAGTCACTTACTCTCTTTGAGCCTTAGCTTCCCTACCCATACAATGGGAATAATACAATAATGGTGCCATTGAAGGGTTACTGTACTAATTATGTGCAATAATCCACACCAAGCACTTCATTCAGTGCCTAGCACTCCAGTCATTGTTTGTTATTATTATTTTTATCTCCTCCTTTCAGCAGCCAAAAAGATTTTCTGTGGAGGCATCACGACTCATTAAGAGAGTCCAAGTTAAGAGCGCCCAGACCAGTGCCACAGCAAGTCTTATTCTGGCGGCCTCAGGCCAACGTGACCTTAGGGGTGCTTGCCAGACTGAAGGCTGCTTTTCTGTGTGCTCGCTCGTTACTTTCGAAATGAACTTTTCTCCCCCTCTCGGTTTCAGTATTCGGGATTTCACACGGAAAGATCGGAATCTGATCACGACAGCCAGTGGGGCGGAAGTCCCCTGACCGACACGGCCTCCCCGCAGCTCCTGGACCCCGCGGACAGGCCCGGCTCGCAGCACGACGCGTCCTGCGCCTACAGGCAGTTCTCGGACCGCAGCGCTCTCTGCTACGGCTTCGCGCTCGACCATTCCAGACTGGTGGAGGAGAGGCATTTCCATACCCAGGCCTGTGAGGGAGGCCGGTGTGAGGCAGGCAGGTACTTCCTGGGAACGCCGCAGGCCGGGAGGGAGCCCTGGTGGAGCTCTCGCGCGGGCTTGCCCCTGCCCAAGGCCTCCCCAGAGAGCAGAGAAGCCTATGAAAACAGCACGCCTCACATCGCGGCCGTCCACAGGCTCCACGGTAAGAGCAGCCGGAAGGACTCCCGACCCGAGCCTCAGGCCCCTGGGCAGGTTTATAGCACTCTAGGTGCGACACTGGAGTGACCCAGATAGTTTTCTCCTTTGATTTACGAATCAGAAACTCCAACGGATGGGATTTAGGAAACCAAGTCCACAAAATTAAGTGCATTCATTTTGCGAAGGTTTGCCAGATACATTTATTTTGGGCAAGTGAGTAGAAACGATTCCCATTTTGGACATCAAAAAGTGTAGAAATTAAGTTAAAGTTAATTGCAGAGTAAATCTATTGAATTTGTAGTATGCATGCATTTGAATTGCTCATGTATTATTTTCTTCTCTATTCTAATGCTTCAACTGTGAACTTTAAAAAAAATTTATTTAACATTTCTTCTTTTTTATTTTTCTCTTTTTGAGGGAGTTAATACAGTTGTGTCACCTGTGGACTTGAAGAGTCTGTGGGCTCGTTTAGTTACAGCAGTGTTTCTCAGTGAGGGCACTATTGATGTATAAGAGAGGACTAGTCTTTGTTTCATGGACTATATGCAGCTTAAGCATCACAGGTGATTAACCCCTCTGAGCATTAAATGCCAGTAACTGCCTCTCCTTTCCCCCATTGTTACGACAACCCACAGTGCCCCCTGTGGGTAAGGGATGGTGTGATATGTAAAACCCACTAAGAGTTTTCACCGTGGGGTCATTATATGGCTTTACAAACACATCAAAATGGGCACTACAGTTAAAGCCTTGATTGTTGGAAATGCTTTTCTTTGTTCATTTCAAAATAAGCTCATGAAGGAGAGCCCATTTTGTTCATTCCAAGCTTGGCTCCAGGCAGATCTTTGAAACCTTCCCTATTTCATTAAAAATTAAGTGACATTAGGATTAAAGTGAAGGCCCTGGTATTACTCTTCTTGTCTTTAGGATGCAAAATGTGCCGGAGAATTTTGTCTCCATTCATAGAGTCTTCTGTCATATACCACCCAGACACTGAATAATTTTAATCTGTTTCCATTCTTGCTTTTAATTTTTCTGATTTTATTTTGAGTATATTTAGTTTGGTAGACTGGTAATGGAAACCCAGAGCAAAGGGCAATTGCTTGTCAAAGAATAGAGTGAAGTGAAAATCCTGGCTTAACCTACAGGGTCTGGAAGAAAATATTAGAAATGAAATAAGAAGAAAAGCAAAAAGGAAAGCAGTGAATGGTGTGATCCAGGGCCTCTCTCCTGCATTAGGCAGCTTACAGCTTTCACATATCCCTCCCTGTTTCTCCTCTCTCTGTTTATATTGATCACAGACTGTTTTGAAAATAATTTAGTTTATGGAATATATGTTGGATGCACTATTCCTCCATATTGGATTTCTCTCCTTAATTCTTAACAGGTTGTTATTAAAATTATAAATATTTATTTTTTTACCTTATTTCAGAAACAATCTAAGATACCTGACCTACTGTATTATTACCTGTGAAGCTGAGATGTTTACCCCTAGGTTGGATAAGATAAACTTACACTTCGAGTGGGATAAGACATATCTATATCTGTATCTGTATCTATATTTATATCTGTCCATGCTTACTTATACATAAATATAAATATATATATATTTTTAACCTTCAAATACTCTAGAAACTAACATTGGAGCTTTATTGTAGCTCTACCTAAATTATATTTGGCAATATTAACATTTTAGATGATTTATTTGGAATTGAGAGAGTAGTTCAGCCTATATCATTGTCTGCCCCAAAGCCAACTGCAACTATTTTTTAAGCATCAGTTTAACATGAAACTGCCCTAGAAAATAACATAAACCAAATTGTATGCATCTTCCTTTTATTTGCAGCCAGACAGGTCCAACAACGGGTAGACATGGAGAAGCATAATGACACTTTACCAGTTTGCTACTTGGCATTCACAACCTATGAGCAAGGTTTATCTTCTAAGAAACTTGTTATAAACTTTATTTGCATGTAAAGTTCCTTGATTTTATATGAGCCTGTGTCTGTTTCAAGTATTGGTGCATATATTAAAAATAAAAGATATAAGGTTTATTTTATTAGAAAAAATAAATACTTAATTTTCTTTTGGTGAATTTTGAAACCATTTACTTTTTTCTTTTTCTAATTTCTAGGGCGAGGTCATTGGGATGAAGATAGTGTGGTCAGTTCTCCAGACCCCGGATCGGCCAGTGAATCAGGTGACCGATATCGCACTGAGCAGTATCAAAGTAGCCCACATGAACCTAGCAAAATTGAAACTCTGATAAGAGCCACTCAGCAAATGATTAAAGAAGAAGAGAACAGATTGCAGCTAAGGAAAGCCCCATCAGATCAACTGGCTTCTATTAATGGAGCTGGAAAGAAACACTCCCTCTGTTTTGCAAACTACCAACAGCCCCCACCAACAGGCGAAGTCTGCCATGGCTCTGCTCTTGCCAACACTTCACCATGTGACCACATCCAACAGAGAGAGGGAAAGATGCTGAGCCCCCATGAAAACGACTATGACAACAGTCCCACTGCACTGTCTCGGATAAGTAGTCCCAATTCGGATCGCATTTCAAAATCCAGTTTGATCCTCGCTAAAGACTATCTACATTCGGATATGTCTCCTCACCAGACAGCAGGAGACCATCCTGCCATCTCTCCAAACTGCTTTGGCGCTCACCGGCAGTATTTTGATAAGCATGCTTACACATTAACTGGATATGCCCTGGAGCACTTATATGACAGCGAAACCATTAGAAACTATTCCTTGGGCTGTAATGGCTCACACTTTGATGTTACTTCCCATCTGAGGATGCAGCCAGACCCAGCACAAGGACACAAGGGAACATCTGTTATAATAACCAATGGAAGCTGATGTTTTTCTAAAATATTTTGTTCTTTAAGATCTCTGAGACATATTTATAGTTTAATACCCCATTACCAGCATTTACTTTGCTACAGATTGTTAGAGAAGGTAATTTAAGTTACTGGGTATTTGATATGTGTTCCTATAAAATCAAAGAAGACATAGCACTAGCATTCAGGGTTATACAGAGATAATGGAGCAAAACTGAATTCACAAATTGCCCCTCTATATGGGAACCAGAATAGGTAAATTTTAAGTTGAAAAATACTTATATAGATCAAATGAGCATATACACCACATGAAAGGACTAATGAATGACAACATTTCATTATGATGATCTAATGATCCTTATACACACAGACAGTCACTAGCACAAACTGCTGCGTGCACTTTACATGCAGAAATATAAAATACATACCATAAACACACCAAAAAAAAAAAAGGGCAACTTTCCTTGACTCTAGCACAAAAAGCTTCTTAAAGACATTTCCATTCCAAAAATAACTAAGAAAGGGAGGGGTACACCTTGTAAACTGATTTCTTCTTTGTGGTTTCAAACCAGCCAGCTCATTTGGTTCAGGCATAAATTAGAGAAATGGTTCTGGATGTGGTGCAAGAATGAGTTTTCACCTGGTATCCATTATAAGCAATCAGGAAGTGGTAATTTTTCACCTGACTTTTGAGTGAGACAAGGATCAAGATTGCACTGACATAGCAGTAAGGATTTTTCTAAGTAAAAGCACTGAGATGTTGGGACACACATCAAAAGCCTGATGTGCTCAATTGGAAGTAGTTTGGTGAAAATGGAAAGGCCAGAGGCAGAGTGAAATAAAACCATATCTCAAAACAAACAATTTAAGGCTCAGAATAGGTAAATGAGGTATTTGAGTTTTGCTGAAAAAAATCAACCAAATAAAAAATTCAAACCAATTCACCAAGGGAAACCAGCAAAGTGCTACATGATAGCAGTGTAAGGGTTTGAAAACATTTCAAAGCACAGATGTGCCTATGTGACAGCATGTGGAAAGCCTCAGGAGAAAGTCTAAGATACAAGCTTAGGCTAATAGACAAGTGGATAAAGGGAAGAGTAGTACTCTGACCGAAGGAATAGGCAAAGTGTTCATTTTCCTTATTGTTTGTAGACAAGAAACTTGGTCTTACGTCTGTGTTGTATAGTAGAAAGGCCAGCTGACTAGATCTCTGGGTTCCAGTTCTGACCCTGCTTATAACTTAATTTTGTGACCACAGATATATCAGTCACCATGCCTGGGCTCCAGTTTTCTGGTTTGTAAGGCAGCACTGATGTTCTGTGTTTCTGTGGTACATTGGCACAGCAGGACTGCACTTGTTAACTAGTTAACTGTCTGCTCCGTGTTGTCAAGACTGTCATTCTGTTTTTTCTGCACACGTACAGAAGTCTAGATGCTTTGTAACTCAAGCAGGTGTGTGGGCTCTTTTAGGCATATATAGTTACAGACAACTTTCCAGATTCAGCTAAAATGTAGATAGTGGAAGTTTACAAGGGAGAAGAAAAATAGGAAGATTTATTTAATGCACTATTCTCTAGTAGTCAAAGCAAAATGACATAAGTGATTAGAGAGGTCTCATAGATAATATTTCCTAGGAGTCCCATGCCTGAAACTCTTGCCATATTCAAGAAGGAGAATGTACTGGAAGAAGTTAACAATTTTGAAAACAGAACATGACATTGAATACTCAGGGATTAGTACTATCTTTTCATCATTTAACACAGTTATTTGACAGTCCATAGGTAGGTGACAATCTGAATAATGATAATTATGAGAGGTAAATACTGAGTTGTTTGTACATGAGGGAAGAGGCTACATAAAATTAAATAACTGCAACATTTGTGCTGTAAATGCAAAAAAGTGCAAGTAAGTGAAGAAAGTTAGTGGTTATCATGTATGTTTTCAAGAAGTTCAAAATACAGTTGACCCTTGAACAACACAGGTTTGAACTACACTGGTCCACGTATACGTGGCATTTTTCAACTAAATGTGGATTGAAAATACATTATACGGAGGATGCCAGACCTGTGTATACAGAGGGCTGACTTTTTGTATATGCAGGATGGGCTCCACAGAGTTAATGGTGGGGACTTGAGTACCCATGCATTTGGTTACAGGAGGGCATTCCTGGAACGAATGCCCTGTATACTGAGGGACGACTGTACAATAAAAACTAAATTTTGAACTATACAATAAAAAAGATATTCAGTAATTATGAGGAAACCTCTGGAATACTTAAATGGATTTTTGATCAATTTGCAACACAAAGCAATGTTTTAGGAATACTAAAGGTTTTGTAGAATTCTGTAGGTGGATAAATGTTTCAAAGACAAATATCTGATGAATATGGTGTATTTTAAAAAGGAAATTTATATAGATGGGTTTTACTGATGGATATACATTCTACTAAATGTGTCAGGGAGAGATGCCAAAAGAGAAATGAAAACTTAAGAACCAAGGAAAATAAGTTGATAATAAAGAAAAGACTGTCACTAAAGGAATTTCAGTGGAATTTTTATATGGAGGATAGTAAATTTATGGAAGAAAAATTATGAACTCAGTAGATGGGGGTAATCAGAAGGAATAATTCTTTTAAAATGGTATGACCAGTATTTTTAATAGAAGACAGAACTACCTAAATTATATCTTGATTGAAAATTGTGGTAGATTGACCCCCAAACCATTAAAAAACCATTTTTTAAAATTTACTGAATGCCAATAAGTTTATAGTAGCAGCTTCATTATATTCCATATAATGCCTTATAGGCTCACAGTATTATATAGCTTACATGTTTTGCAATATGGCATGAGTATTACAAAAATACCCGAAGTAATTTATTTTAGGACAAGGTACCTTCTTAATATACATGTAAATGTGTTAAAATGTATTTATAATCTACATTATTTTGTTCTGTGCAGGAACCTATTTCCTCATAACGAAGATGTCATCTGTATCTTTACAAAATATAGGATATAAAATAAATATCTTCCCAATGACTTAATCAGTTAAAATTAAACAAATTGGCTTTAGTTTTAATTCTTGATTTACATAACTTTGCTAAATGCTGAGAACCATGAAACTTGAATGAGAGAGAAAAGTATCATTTTTGTATCATTTTGGGGATCTATAAACATGTGCTATATCCAATTATCAGTTAACTATGTATCAGCACATTAGATGATACATAGCTCATGCTTTCTAGTAATAGTAAAAATATGTTTATTGCCCATTTCACCTGCCCTACCTAATTTAAAAAATTGGATGACCAAAGAAATAAATGACTATTTCTCCAATCTTCTTTGAGAAAATTGTGTTTAAACTATTCTTGGGAATAGACAGATTTAACGTGTTATTTTGAGATGCATAATAATAATGTCACAATCACCACAGGCCAGATATTTAGGTATCCTTCGGCTCCACAAGTCTTTTGTCATAATATGCTGAATATAATGTGCTAATTTTTCTAAACTGTAATTGCCTGATAAAAGATAATATAGCAGTGCTGATGTGACATTCAAAATGAGACAGGATGCAATAAATTATTTGCCTTCAGTGTTTATACAGGAAAACCACTTATTCTTTCTTGGTTATATTTTATAGGGCTAGAATATTTCCATTGGGTACTATTCACTCTACACCCTGCTGCCACATGCTGCCTCTAGGCAGAGAATCTCACTTAAAATAACCTTCAATGGGGTCTTCTAAAAAAGGATAAAATGCTCCAATTTTCATTTCTTTTTTTTTTTTTAAATGGGGAATGAAGATCAATTCTAATAAAAGATCATTTGGAAAATGTGCATAGATATTTTAAAATAAAATAAAAGACATCCTCTCCTAAGATCTAGACCAAATAAATTTGATAGAAGACAGTACAGCTAAAGAGACGTTTGGAAAAAGGATTTGATATTTTATAGTTCGCTCTTTTTCAAGAGCAGGACATTACTAAGATATTCAGTGTAATTCTATTAGTACTAGTGGTATTTGGAAGTGACAGAATGAATGCTAATATTTGGAAAACTGAGTATGTGGGAGTCACTCACCTTGCCTAATGGAATAGCTTACACTTTAATGCAGCCTTTCTGATTTAAAAAGTTTGAATGCCAAGATTTGGCTCCATAGTCCACTCAGATCATACATGTAGACTTACATCCTATTTTCTGAATGACTTAAGAAAATGATATAAATCCTGAAGTCCTCCAAATAAGTGATTCAACTTTCATGTAAATGTCCAAGTGTTTGTGAATAGAGATTTACATCTAAGACAGCAAAACCTATTGGCTAGTTCTTACTGTGAAACATGTTGTGGATAAAACATTCATTATCATTCTAGATTTTAAATGCGTGACAAAACAGCTATGAACACGTGCAAAATGTATCAGACATAGAAAGTGTTCTTGGAGGAAATTTACATGTGGTGCTCATTTCTTGTGCACAAGGGCTGTATAGATAGTGCTTCACTGAAAAAGTGAGATTGTACTCATTTCCAAATAGGGGTTTGTCCAGAGTTCCTTCTCTAAAACTGTATGCAGAAAGAATACACACACACACACACACACACACACACACACACACGATTTTTATATCACCTTGGAGATTCATAAAAATGTGCTATTTCACACAAGAAATCCTAATTGATCATTTTAAACTAAATGTAGTTTTATTTATTTATTACAATTTTGGTGCATGGGACTTTGCTTTCACAAATCCATATGGGGGGAGTTTGTCCTAATTTGCTGATCTGGGACACATTTAATCATGGCTGAATTTATACCCAACAACCCTGGTGTGTTTACATTTCAAAGAAATAAAATTGATGTGGAAAAATTTTAGAAGTACTGTAACTTTCCCCCCGCCCCTTTTTTTCAAAGGAAAATATTTCAAAAATGAAACATGTGAATAGGCACTTCAAAAAAAAATAAAATATTTTATGTTTGTTTTTTGACCGACATGCTATAAAAAGGATTATATTTGTGAGAAAAGATACTGATTGCCAATATTTCAAATACCATCTTGCAATGTATAGTTTTTAGTGACATTGTAGTATAAAGCTGTAATTTAAACCTTTACTTTGGAATGTAAAGTAGAAAATACTAGCTATGTCAATGATATCTTGCAAAGTGTTCCCATTTATAATTATTTATATTGTAAATAGCTTTCTGAAGTAAATTCGAAGTTAATGTGCATAAAATGTATTTATTATGTGAGGATTTTTTTGGTTTAAAATATAGTTACCAATATGCAGTTTGAGTCTGAATTATTCATTGAAAGAAAAATCTCTACAGGACAAAACAGACTGTCAACTAGACTACTACTATAAAAAAGACAAGAACCATTTTAGCTCTATAGGTACTATTGGAATGGGTAGCAATACACATGTACACACACACACAACTACATACACACTTTAAGAGACGTAGGAATAGAAGCTTATACATTTGCACAGCAACTATTAATAGGTCTGATTTTTATTAGACACTAGGGAATGGTTTTTCAATGTGTCATTAGGACATCTTAAGCAGGACTCCTTTGTCTCCACTTTGCTAAATAAAGCATGAAATTTGAAAGTACAGATTACATTTTTAATGCCTAAGTGAAAAGAAAACCTATAATATTGAGATTCTTTAGTTTGCTGTCTTTCAAAAACACATTAAAAACACTTCCTGAATAATTTTTGTTTTGGAATCCAAAGTATTTTTAAAATTTATCATTAGGAATTAAAGTCAGACAAAAATAAATTTTTAGGTAGTTTCCTCTTAAGCATTTTTTTAGTGCCAAACATGTTTTTCTTTATTTCCTCCAGGAACTTCTGATTTACCCTGATGTGTTTCAGAAATTGTTAGCTATTGGCCAATTCAACAAGTCTACACAATATCTTTTTTATTTTTATTTTTATTTATTTTTAGTTTTTTTGAGACAGAGTCTCACTTTCTTGCCCAGGCTAGAGTGAGTGCCGTGGCGTCAGCCTAGCTCACAGCAACCTCAAACTCCTGGGCTCAAGCAATTCTACTGCCTCACCCTCCTGAGTAGCTGGTACTACAGGCACGTGCCACCATGCCCGGCTAATTTTTATATATAAATATATTAGGTTGGCCAATTAATTTCTTTCTATTTTTATAGTAGAGATGGGGGTCTCGCTCAGGCTGGTTTTGAACTCCAGACCTTGAGCAATCCGCCCGTGCCCGCCTCGGCCTCCCAGAGTGCTAGGATTACAGGCGTGAGCCACCACGCCCGGCCCACAATATCTTTTAATTCAGTGCAAGTGTGGTTTGTATTATTGTATTTATAAAAAGCTTTTTTACAAAGCTGAACTAAATATCAAAATATCATTATTATTAATATTATAACATTTATTAGATATTTTCCACCATGATCCTTTAATATACTTGTTTTAGGGGTTTTGTTTCTGAAAATAATTTTTTCACTTACTTTATTCTCCAAAATAATTGCACCACCAATTTAATCCACAACTTTTATTAAATACCTATTATGTGTCCCAAATACGATAGGTCCCAAGAACTTTTCTCATTGTAGGGTGTTATAGGAAAGCACATATAGTGGGTCTTTGATTTTCCTTTCATGTCTTGAAAGAATAAATTCTTTACATAATCATAAAAAGGACAAGCACTTATTGAACCATCATGTGCCAGGCACTGAACCAAACTGGGATCGTCAATAGAAATCTCAGTAGAGACCATCACATAGCAAATATGCTCCATTTCATTAATGAGAAACTGAGTCACAGAGACAGTAAGTGGTAGAGGTGAGATTTGAACCCAGACAGATTTGCTCTGAAACTTTACCTGACTTCATTCTGTTTTCATTATATAATTAAACAAAAAATTAAGTGAAAGAAAACATTGTCCAAATGGTGGTTACCATAAACAGATCCCTCAATCCCATCAAATGGTGGCTCCAGTAGCCCCGTGGATCATGGTCGTAGGGCTGGGGTTGCTCTTTGTCCATTATTACACTGATCTATGATGGCCAGCCTTGAGAGAGGTGGGGCCAAGCCTGCTGCCCCCTTACATACATTTTGCCTTTCTGCTGAATGAATGTTCTGATGCTTTTTTTATATAAACGTGATACCAAGAAAAGCCTAGAGCACAATAAGGTGACAGGAAAATTATCCAAACAAGGTTCCCATGATATTTGACTTTCTTTTTGAGAGTTTCTCAATTAACAAAATACTTTAAACAGTAATTTTTCACCTAACATTTTCAGGACATGAGCCCAAACAAAAGTATTACTTTTTCATGAGAGTCATTAAACAGTCTTTTGTTTCATGGAAAATTTTCCTTTCTCTTTGGATAAAAACCAATGAAATCTCACTCAACCAAGAATCAACATGTGTCAGCACTGACTGCATTATTTAGGGCCTGGTTTTGCGCGTACCTGCAGGTAGATCTTAAGGGGCTGTTGCAAGTACCACATTATGTGTTTTCCTTATTTGAAGGGAAACTGCCCACAAGTTATTGGAAGGGAAGGCTGCCTTTCAGAGCACAGATGATTCCTATAAGATGTCGTGGAGGAATGGCATGTGCCTGCTGGGATCAGTCTGTCTCTGGCTGCCTCACTGATCATGCAACCTATGGGTGCCAGGAACGGAGGGGGCCTTCCAGGCCCACCCAGCCATCCACACCTGCTGCCCTCGGCCTTAGAGTGTCAGGAGAGTCGATCTTCTGTAGTATTTCGTGGCCTTTTCATAATTATTCTTTATAACTTAATACGTGCTGTATTTACTGATGGAATTAGATCCAGGGTAGGAGAAACGTAAAACAGCCCTTGCTTTGGGAGTTTGTAAATAATCTCTGCTTTGTTCAGCTTCCCCCAGGTCAGGCTCCTGTGTGGGGAATACTTCCATATGGGAATCTTGCTTGAGTGCTATCTAAGTAAACCTTAAAAAGAATCTTGGCAGTATCTCCAGAGCCATAAGGAAATCATTCTCAGTTTCTGGTGAGGATTTTCTGATAGCTTTGTTTGGTATATATACTGAAAAACAACAAAACAACAACAACAAACTGAACACGAAGAATGTCTTATAGATGAGGTCTCCAGGGTTCACTTGGGAATGGGTCATTGGGATTTAAAGTGAGAAGAAATCATCCAGATAATAACGAAGTCTCATTATTCAGTGCATTTCTACATTTCTAATTTCCAATTTCAGCCCTCGCATTCGTCACCTGTCCCATTAGTTAGACTAGACAGGGCTTGTCTGTGGCAGCACGCTAAACCTATTCTTTTAATTTAAAAGGTCAGAGGCACATTTTCAATGCACATTTATAATTCTGTTACATAATTAAAGATTGTAAATAGCTAAGAATTTTTTTTTCAGGGTGGGGAGAAAACGAGGTGAGAAGGCTAGCAGGTTTTTACACTCCTTAAATTCCTCTTTCAGTCACATGCGTTCCTTGTTTAAATACCCGCCACTGCTATATAATTAACCTTGCCAGTTTCCCTACGTAAAATTAAAATATATAAGAGGTGTCTTTTTTTTTGAGACATAATCTCGCTTTGTTGCCCAGGTTAGAGTGAGTGCTGTGGCGTCAGCCTAGCTCACAGCAACCTCAAACTCCTGGGCTCAAGCGATCCTCCTGCCTCAGCCTCCTGAGTAGCTGGGACTACAGGCATGCTCCACCATGCCTGGCTAATTTTTTCTACATATATATTAGTTGGCCAATTAATTTATTTCTATTTGTAGTGGAGACAGGGGTCTTGCTCTTGCTCAGGCTGGTTTCAAACTCTTGACCCCGAGCAATCCGCCCGCCTCGGCCTCCCAGAGAGCTAGGATTACAGGCGTGAGCCACTGCGCCCAGCCTAAGCGGTCGGTGTCTTTTAATGAAAGACATAGAATGTCTTAGTTCTGAAATTTGTTTTTCTTTCACGGACTCTGCTGTTGCTTTACGTAATGACTCAAAAAGGATATAAAATGGTTTAAGAATTCTGCCACTCTTTCACACCCCATTTGGTTTGTTTGTAACCCGGTTTCCTTCTTTAGAGATTTTATGTCATGCTCCATTGCTCCATATTTTTACTTTTTTCCTAAGCTCTCATGTCATTTTACTTCAGAGATCATCTCTATATGATAAGACCTTTAATATATATATATTATGTATATATGTATATATATTATGTATAATATATATTATGTATGTGTATATATATATATATAACTATTGTGCCACTCTCACACCTACCAAAATTAACAATAATTTCTAATGCACGGCACTTTCTAAAAGGAGACTGAGAGCAAGCATGCCATTTTCTCCTTATCCCTCTCTTTGGACATTCTCCGTCTTCAAGGCTTCCACAGCTCTCCCCATCTACTTATAACTCCCTCCTCTCACTTCTAACTTCTCTCAGCTTCTTGGAATTTTTAGGTATGCTAGTCCTCTTTTCACACACTCTTCCCTACACACACACAGACACAAGCACACACGCTTGCAGATGAGCCCAGCCTTTAGGACGTGGGGCTTGGTTGCTTCTCGGCTGCTCTTGACTCAATCTTCACAGTAGCTGTTTTAAATCTTTTTTTTTTTTTTTTTTTTTTTTGAGACAGAGTCTTACTCTGTAGGCTGGGCTAGAGTGCTGTGGCATCAGCTCACAGCAACCTCCGACTCCTGGGCTCAAGCAATCCTTCTGCCTCAGCCTCCCAAGTAGCTGGGACTACATACAGTTGGGTGCCACCATGCCCGACTACTTTTTTCTATATATTTTTAATTGTCTGGCTAATTTCTTTCTATTTTTTTAGTAGAAATGGGGATGTCACTCTTGCTCAGGACTCCTGACCTCTAGTGATCCTCCCGCCTTGGCCTCTGAGAGCGCTAGGATTACAGGTGTGAGCCACCATGCTCAGCCAGTTGTTTTAAATCTTGAGAGCAGCCTGAATCCCACTCTTATGTGAAGACTGAGTCCTCTGTAGTTCTTGCCTTCTTGAAATACGTTGATATCACTTCCCAAAATTTCAAAACATATCTGTATCTGTGCTCTTCTTTTCTGCCTGTCTCATGAAGCAGGTGATTTTCCTTCCCGAGAGTAACTCTTCTTCCTGTGGTACTGATCCAGTGACATTGTTCATTGTTCTCTTCTCTCTTCACTGGCTTCTTTGTTTCTGCTTCTGGGCATGCTCCAGTCTCTCAGTTTTTAAAAGACATCATGAAGAACAAAATTCCAAATAGTCCTCTGAATACCATCCTATCCCTTTGTTCCTAATACCAATAAAAAAGTGTTTGTGGTTTTTTTTT